ATGTGAGATTGACCCTGAGATTCACTAAGAGCAGGGGCATGCTGAACTGGTTGAGGATTCTGTTGTGGAGTTGGGGGTTGTTGAGCAGGATTCAGTAGATTAATGAGGGGGTCACCAGGATTGTTTCTGGCTAAAAGCTGAGCTAGTACCAACTGAAAAACACCAAACTGCTGCTGCATGGCAGCAAGCTGAGCTGTCACTACGTCTTGGTTGGCAGTGGAAGTGGAATTATGAGCTGAGGCATGGGGTTGGTTTTCATCTCCTCCTTCGGCATGATCAATAGGAGGGAACATAGTGGGGACCTGAGGTGGAAGCTGAGATGTAAGTTGGGGTGGGATCAGAGGTGGAAGGTTGTTGGGGGGTTGACCTTGCCCATGAGGCAGAGATGAATTACCAGCTCCGACTGATCGAGTGTGAACCATGATGAAAGAGCAACTAGAAAGCTTTCAGTTCGATTCCCACAGACAGCGCCAATGTAATTGCACCAAACCCGAAGTCTTTCCTCAGTCCGCGCTTGCACTCCGGAATGACCTGCAAAGCCCCGAGGTGGAACTCGGGGTAGACACTCCGATGCTTAAGTCAGCAATAATCGGGACTACCTTTAGGGTGGAGATAAAAAGAGCTTAGGGTTGGTTTCAATTACCTTTTGACGTGGCCCGGAAAGGGTATTTATAGGATCCAGTGAGGAATCCACGTGGCATGCCAAGCAAGATAATCGGAGCCTGATGTGTCCATCCAGACGATTATTCTGAGACCAGGAATTTGAGAGGTATTCAGATGTATAGGTGTCCACTATACCTGCTGTGCCACTCATCATAAGGAATCAGGTGCGGACATGCTTATCGTCATTATCATGCAGCTATTTGAGTGGGAAGCTTTGGATTCATTCCTCACTTCAATCATAAAGAGATTACTGTAGCAGTCTCAGTCTTGGCACCTCAGACCTGTCCTTACATCTCCCCCTCCCTATCAACCAAGGACACCCTTTATTTATACCCACACTTGCAGAAAAACGAAACAAGGAGAACAGACAATCAGAGCTGGTACAAGATCGGGTTGCAAGATTGGGTTGCAGCGGTACAGAGGATCGGGCTGCAACAGGGGCGCAGGCGAGTAATGAGTGCAGGATCGGCTCTGGAAGAGGAGGGGTGATGAGTGCAAATCTAGGCATGTAGGCGCACAGGATTGGCAGCAAAATGCAGGGGGCCACAGAAGGCAAAGGATCCAGCTTTTTGGCAGAAGCAGGAGTGCAGATCAAGTGCAGGTGTAGTAGAGTGCAAGGCACAGGTGTGCAAAGGCGCAGGCGTGCAGCAGAGGGCGATGATGGCTCGGTGCAAGGTAGGTTGCAGGCGTACGAGGGTGTGATGCAGCCTGCATGGTAGAGGATCTAAGCTCAGCGCAGCAGCAGGTGCAGGAGTGATGATTGCACGGGATCTGGGCGCAGGAGGCACGTCGGGCGCAGGCTGGTGCAGGGGCGAGGCTCGGGCGTGC